CATGTTGTGTATACTCCACAATAATCACTCACTAGAGTGAGAGGTATGGGGGGGGGGTAGAAAAAACTTGGTTAAAAGTTTACCTGGAAATGGTTTCAGACATCATCGTTCCTGATACCGTCCCAACCAGGCCCCAAATGTTTATAAACCTGATCAGTGATGGTCGCTGAAGGCACTCCCACGTGCTCACCACATTCCGGTTAATAAAAACTTGCTACAGTACCTTAACGATTTTCCTGTGAAAACTTTGTGATTGGTTGACGTTGACAAGTCTTGCATCCTCCATGCTCATTGAATTTATTGCACTCTTGTTTTTTTTTTTTTTTCAATTTCGTACTTCGCCCAGTTTGTTATTCCTCTTGCTGCCATACGGAGAATCTTCTGTAAATTATTGTTCATCTTCCTCATTTGCGCTCCAGAAATGTAATATGAGCGATTTTAAGCTTTCTAAGTGTTGTAATTTATACGAGCCGCGAATTTTGTTTCTACCTTATGGAAACCGCAATTTCGCCTACCTTAACCGGAGCTGTCACTATACAGTAGTATTCCTGTCTACAGAGTAAAATTATAATCATTTGCTTGGCATTTCATGTTGTGATAGAAACACTTCTGTGTTCCTTAACGTTGAATTGTACGATATTGTTAATCCTTAGATAGTGCATTGTATTATCTGTTACGGTTTGTTTTCTGTTGTCATTGATGTCACTTTCTGACAAATTCTAGTATCGTCTACTAAGGATGTTACGGTGCTATTATTTATATATAGTCTATGTCAGTTATGAGAATTAGGAAGATAATAGGGCGAGACTGTGCCTTGTCGAACAGAACGCTTCAGTGTAATAGCCTCTGGTTTTATTATAACTACTATTACTGTTTTGCTCGATTTAATAGCAAGTTGATAGTCTCTATGGCCGCTTTCCCAGTGATTGATTCTGCACTTATTTTGTGGACTATTGCACCATGATCACACTTGCCGAAGGTTTCTGCGAAGTCTGTATATTACATTAGCATTTTGTTTGTTCTCTAGTATATCTAAAACAATAACAGTGGTGAAAGGCAGAAACGTGTTGTTACCTCATTTTGTGTTGAGTTGCCATAAACACAATTGAATAACACTTTTTCAACTGTGATCCACAACTCTTCAGTCTTTTACCAGAGGATAAAACAATGCCTAAATAAAGAAGAAAGCCTAATATCATTCTGAACTGACTGGGAAAAGTGTAGGAACGGGTTACAGTGTTCACCGAGTGAAAAAAACTAATGAACCGACGGTCAGCACGACGAATCATTAATAAGTTGGTATACAACAGTCGACAAGGGATCAAGTTTTATTTGCTTTCAGGAAATGTAATTGCAAAAGCAATTTAAGCTGACTGAGGTCGGACAAGGGAAAGGGCACGAGTAAATTTATTAGCTTATTTTGTAGGGTGATGTGGGGTAGAGTGATACGGTAGAGTAGTGCTGGGGAGTAGCATGTGGGTCTGATGGGGGCTCTCTCTCTAAAATGTTGCTCCCTCCCGCCTCCATATGCTTTTGTTGCTCCTCCCTGCCTCCCATACACACTTAAGTGCCTTGTGCTCTCACTTATGTTTCAGCACCTGTGTTAATGTTTTCCAGCACTGTGTAAATATTGTTCCCACATTGTTTTTCTTGCGTTTCACCATTGTGCATCTTGTTCGACACTTTTACAAGTGTTGGAACACTTAGAGTTTTCCAACTCTTTCTTAGGGAGAAAAAACATTACATTAAAAACAACTTTCTGAACATTTTCTCAGTAGTGATGTATCAGATAATGTATGCAAATGTTCCAAAATACACTGACAGCTATACACGTTCTAATGAAAGGAAAGGTAGAAATAGATGAGGTGGGGTGAGTGAAATCATTGGAGTCACTCAGTAGTGGTGCCTGTGCCACACTTGACCTATGTTAAGTGTGGCACAGTATGTTCAAGCCCTTAGGGGCAGAACGATTTTCAAGCATCATCCCTTCAACCCTCACCTGGCTACGATATATACCCCGACGATGTACCCTTGACAGCTTAAGAAACAGTTTTAACACAGTTGAACCCGCAATATAGTTCACAATCAGAGCAGAGCAAAGCAACACCTTTCCGTTTCTTGACGTCCAACTTATCGAATTCGACAAGATCTCAAATTTATGTTTCAGCAAGCCTACCGACAAGAACAACATAATATACACTTCTCGCGATAAGAAAACCAGGTGGGGAGTTGTGATGGAGTTCTTTCTGAGGCTTAAATGATCTACAGCCCCGAATACTTTGAAAAGGATTTTGGCGTCATTAGTAATCATATTCCTTCATACTTCATCCAGGGCTACAGACAAGTGGTCCAGAAAACACTTCCTACGTCCAAAGAGGAGGAAGATTACATCAATCATCTCATTTTTTCCCACAGGTGACGTCTAAGATACCGTCACACAGGTGTTAAAGAAAACTGGAATGAATGTCACAACCATCAACTGCTAAACAATTAGAGGTCTCACCAGAACAGGAAATAAGAACCAGGGCAACATTGGTGTCGGAATATACACTGTTTCTTGTGGTGGTTGTGACAAATTGTACATTGGCGAGAGTTCGTGCAGTCTATACACCAGGATTCAAGAACACCACCACGCAATACATGTGTAGTCTCGCAACATTAACACTGCATGCGCAATTCAATGGGATAAACACTCATACATTATTTCATGGCAAGACGACATACATGTGATAGAAAGGAGCTGGACCAGAAGAAATCTAGAAATATCCGTAACTAATACAAAGAACACCAGTGAACAGAACCAAAGTGCACACGTGTTATTGCAGGGACAGTTGCCAGCCTGAAACCAGGCGACATTTCAGTATAATTGACACCGATGTACCAGTTGCATAGCTCCACCACCTGCACCACTGACACACGATTTGTCATACTCCAGTGATTTCATTCACCTTACCTGTGTGTGGATCTCACCTGCTTCTACCTCTCCTCCCAGGAATATACCGTATGCACTTGTATTATGAATCTTATATATGACTTTATGAAGCTCTACACAGCATTACGTTGTCCCGGTAAAAGCTTGTTGGGCAACGTTTGTCTTTTCTTCACTATAGTCAGCAGTATAACATTTGGAATCAACTTGATATGATTCTGTGCTCCATCTATAGCTGATATGTTACCCTGTGTTCCAACATATGTTAGTGAGAATACCAACACTGTGTTACACTTGTGTTACTTTGTATTCTAACACTTGTTGCTGAGTGTTCCAACACTTGTTACTCTTACAACACTTTTGTTACTCTTTTGTTCTAACACTTGTTATTGTTTGTGCCAACATTGTTCACACCTACTATTTTGTTTAGTGGTTATTGTGCATCTGTTGTAATCTATATTCCGTCTCTAACAAAATAGTGTACCTGTTGTCTCCTTGTATATACTTTATTGTGCGTAGTTCGTGTTGTACGTCGCTGTAGATCTTGTGATGCAGGGGCTGCAGGGAGGGAGGGTTGCAATAAGCATGCATGGTTACAGGCACGGTATTGCACGTGTTGGGTGCACCTCTTCACCTGTGTTGTCACGATTGCACAGTAGTACAGTCTAGTGCTTCTGGTGCTGCTGTCTACTGCTCCTGATGCTGTTGTCTAGTACCAACAATACTGTTATCCTCTCGTCATCATTGTCTCGGCTCTATACATCACTTCATTTTCCTCTCCCAGTATGTTATCATGGTTTCTCTTCTTTTTGCCTTTCTGTCTCAGGATGCTGCCATCTTCCTCTTCTGGTATCATAGTATTTAGTGCTTCATTCACCATGACACTGCTGTGACTAGTATGTTGTGGTTTGATGTTACCAGTATAGTTTCTACATTGTCTTCCTGGTATCTTTGTCTTCTTTCTCTTCTGTTGTCGTATCGTAGTTCTTGGGTTTCTCAAATCCTAGGTTACTATCTTTCCGTAACATTTGCTCTCTCAGTCTGCCTATGTGGTACTGTCAACTGATTGACTCTTCCCTAGAGAAACTTTCCCTTGTCTTCCACACGCGCTCTGGGATAGGCTATCCTCAGAGATGGTAATTCCCAAATATAACTAATTACTGCTCTGCTGGAACGAAACTTTTGAAACTCCCGCAGCTGCTGAACCCCTTTGTGGAATGCTTGACAATATTATGATCTTACTGAAGTCTCCCAGCTCAAGTTATTTCTTCACTTGATGTAAGAACTCCACCCTTTGTGATGGAGCATAACGAAGGAATATAGCTAACTTTTCTTTCGACGAGGTCACTGTTATATAGAATACGACAGCAGCACACTGCTGGTATACCCAGTTTTCAATAAGGAAGAGCTTTCTCTGTCCTTCACTTTTTGTTCAACTCGTCAGATGAGGGATCTCCAGTTACACCGAAAGGATTTGTACTACTTCTTATTTTTTTTTATTCTGGGTCATTTCGAATCATATTATATAAATATATATATATATAATATATATATATATATATATATTATATATATATATATTTATATATAATATATATATATATATATATTATAGCAATAAGATCACAGTAAAAAGGTGATATCACATTATGCAAAATAACCACTGAAAATAATAATGAATTTCCAATCGCTTTCTCACGTAAATGCTTGGAAGTTATATAATATATAATGTAACATAGACGGGTGGTGGATGGGGACAGGGAGGTGTGTAAGGTTAGTGGGGGCAGCCGATGCCCAGAGCTACGTGTGGGGTTTCAATTCAACCTGTGGTGGGTAAGAGGCTCTAGCAGTGGTATATACCAGTATAATGTCACGTGTGTCGCTTCGTTCATTCACTTCTTCCTGTATCTGTTGTACACTAACGTCTTCTGCAACGATACACTTGGATAATCCTGGCTACCTTATGATCATTATATATATAATCTGTAGATTTATATTTTCAAATGTTAGTTTATTTGTTATAGTAACATGAAGTGTGTTGTATGTGATAATCAGAGTTTGTGTTGTACAGATGGACTCGAGCACATGCCTGGAGCTGGCCCTGGAGGGTGAGCGTCTCTGCAAGGCTGGCGACTGTCGTGCTGGCGTCGCCTTCTTCGAGGCTGCCATACAGACAGGCACAGACGACCTGCGCACCCTCTCTGCCATCTACTCGCAGCTGGGCAACGCTTACTTCTACCTGGGAGAGTACGACAAGGCTATGGAGTACCACAAACTAGACCTTACCGTTGCCAGGTCAGTACAACACCTCCATCCACCACTCACACCAAAGGTTGATAAAAGCACTCATCTAGGGATGTGCAACCCTCTTGTTATATAAGTGTGAAACAGTAACCTGTTAAATGTTTGGTACTCTGGCAGGCGTGAGGGTCTTTTATAAATCATGAACGTTTAAGATGACATAAGTCAGCCAAACGTCTTACATTGTACACTTATCTGTAGTGTTCTCTACATTCCTTGGCAGTATATTTTCCTGGATTATTTCCTTTTCAGTTGAGGCCTAGTCTGAGACGGGTCGCGGGGGCGAAGATCCCTGAACCATTAACAAATATAAACACCACAGACACATTATAGCAGTCAGTGTTATATTTGCAAACCCCTCAAGGAAGGCTTCTTGATGTTGGTGAGGGGCTCTTGATTTAGGGAATTGGATCTGTGCTCCAGTTCCCCGAAGCCTGAATACCTTCCACATCCCCCCCCCAGGCGCTGTATAATCCTCTGGGTTTAGCGCTTCCCCCTTGATTATAATAATAATAATAATAATAATATATTTGCAACAAACATCTCGGTAATTTAATTTTTATGAGAGAATGTAACTACCAAGATGGCTGCCATTATTGTCAGTTCCTGCTTTTATTATGACTCAAAAAACTAACATCAGTCTTATAAATACTAACACCACCACCACTCTTGTCAGTACTTCAGATTATAAAGACTAGCACCACCAGCATCACTGTAGTGTAGTGGTTAATGTGTTAGGTTAGTGTGTGTGTGTGTCCCGTCAGTGTTAGTGTAGTGTGTGGGTCCCGTCAGTGTTAGTGTAGTGTGTGGGTCCCGTCAGTGTTAGTGTAGTGTGTGGGTCCCGTCAGTGTTAGTGTAGTGTGTGGGTCCCGTCAGTGTTAGTGTAGTTGGTGGGTCCCGTCAGTGTTAGTGTAGTGTGTGGGTCCCGTCAGTGTTAGTGTAGTGTGTGGGTCCCGTCAGTGTTAGTGTAGTGTGTGGGTCCCGTCAGTGTTAGTGTAGTGTGTGTGGGTCCGTCAGTGTTAGTGTAGTGTGTGGGTCCCGTCAGTGTTAGTGTAGTGTGTGGGTCCCGTCAGTGTTAGTGTAGTGTGTGAGTCCCGTCAGTGTTAGTGTAGTGTGTGGGTCCCGTCAGTGTTAGTGTAGTGTGTGGGTCCCGTCAGTGTGTTAGTGTAGTGTGTGGGTCCCGTCAGTGTTAGTGCAGTGTGTGGGTCCCGTCAGTGTTAGTGTAGTGTGTGGGTCCCGTCAGTGTTAGTGTAGTGTGTGGGTCCCGTCAGTGTTAGTGTAGTGTGTGGGTCCCGTCATTGTTAGTGTAGTGTGTGGGTCCCGTCATTGTTAGTGTAGTGTGTGGGTCCCGTCAGTGTTAGTGTAGTGTGTGGGTCCCGTCAGTGTTAGTGTAGTAGTTAGTATGTACGTGTTCCATCAGTGTTAGTGTAGTGTGTGGGTCCCGTCAGTGTTAGTGTAGTAGTTAGTATGTACGTGTTCCGTCAGTGTTAGTGTAATGTGTGGGTCCCGTCAGTGTTAGTGTAGTGTGTGGGTCCCGTCAGTGTTAGTGTAGTGTGTGGGTCCCGTCAGTGTTAGTGTAGTGTGTGGGTCCCGTCAGTGTTAGTGTAGTAGTTAGTATGTACGTGTTCCATCAGTGTTAGTGTAGTGGTTAGTATGTACGTGTTCCGTCAGTGTTAGTGTAGTGTGTGGGTCCCGTCAGTGTTAGTGTAGTGGTTAGTATGTACGTGTTCCATCAGTGTTAGTGTAGTGGTTAGTATGTACGTGTTCCGTCAGTGTTAGTGTAGTGTGTGGGTCCCGTCAGTGTTAGTGTAGTGTGTGGGTCCCGTCAGTGTTAGTGTAGTGTGTGTGTCCCGTCAGTGTTAGTGTAGTGTGTGGGTCCCGTCAGTGTTAGTGTAGTGTGTGGGTCCCGTCAGTGTTAGTGTAGTGTGTGGGTCCCGTCATTGTTAGTGTAGTGGTTAGTATGTACGTGTTCCGTCAGTGTTAGTGTAGTGTGTGGGTCCCGTCAGTGTTAGTGTAGTGTGTGGGTCCCGTCAGTGTTAGTGTAGTGGTTAGTATGTACGTGTTCCGTCAGTGTTAGTTTAGTGATTAGTATGTACGTGTTCCGTCAGTGTTAGTGTAGTGGTTGGTGTGGTTCCGTCAGTGTTAGTGTAGTGTGTGGGTCCCGTCAGTGTTAGTGTAGTGTGTGGGTCCCCTCAGTGTTAGTGTATGTGTGTGGGTCCCGTCAGTGTTAGTGTAGTGTGTGGGTCGCGTCAGTGTTAGTGTAGTGTGTGGGTCCCGTCGTGTTAGTGTAGTGTGTGGGTCCCCTCATTGTTAGGTAGTGTGTGGGTCCCGTCAGTGTTAGTGTAGTGTGTGGGTCCCGTCAGTGTTAGTGTAGTGTGTGGGTCCCGTCAGTGTTAGTGTAGTGTGTGGGTCCCGTCAGTGTTAGTGTAGTGTGTGGGTCCCGTCAGTGTTAGTGTAGTGTGTGGGTCCCGTCAGTGTTAGTGTAGTGTGTGGGTCCCGTCAGTGTTAGCGTAGTGTGTGGGTCCCGTCATTGTTAGTGTAGTGTGTGGGTCCCGTCAGTGTTAGTGTAGTGTGTGGGTCCCGTCAGTGTTAGTGTAGTGTGTGGGTCCCGTCAGTGTTAGTGTAGTGGTTGGTATGTACATGTTCCGTCAGTGTTAGTGTAGTGTGTGGGTCCCGTCAGTGTTAGTGTAGTGTGTGGGTCCCGTCAGTGTTAGTGCAGTGTGTGGGTCCCGTCAGTGTTAGTGCAGTGTGTGGGTCCCGTCAGTGTTAGTGTAGTGTGTGGGTCCCGTCAGTGTTAGTGTAGTGGTTGGTATGTACATGTTCCGTCAGTGTTAGTGTAGTGTGTGGGTCCCGTCAGTGTTAGTGTAGTGTGTGGGTCCCGTCAGTGTTAGTGTAGTATTGTATGTACGTGTTCCTCAGTGTTTGTGTAGTGGTTAGTATGTACGTGTTCCGTCAGTGTTAGTGTAGTGTGTGGGTCCCGTCAGTGTTAGTGTAGTGGTTTTGTATGTACGTGTTCCATCGTGTTGTTTTATAGTGGTTAGTAATGTACGTGTTCCGTCAGTGTTGTGTAGTGTGTGGGTCCCCTCAGTGTTAGTGTAGTGTGTGTGTCCGTCAGTGTTAGTGGGAGTGTGTGTGTCCCGTCAGTGTTAGTGTAGTGTGTGGGTCCCGTCAGTGTTAGTGTAGTGTGTGGGTCCCGTCAGTGTTAGTGTAGTGTGTGGGTCCACGTCATTGTTAGTGTAGGTGTGGTTAAGTATGTACGTGTTCCGTCAGTGTTAGTGTAGTGTGTGGGTCCCGTCAGTGTTAGTGTAGTGGTTAGTATGTACGTGTTCCGTCAGTGTTAGTTTAGTGATTAGTATGTACGTGTTCCGTCAAATGTTAGTGTAGTGGTTGTGTGGTTCCGTCAGTGTTAGTGTAGTGTGTGGGTCCCGCAGTGTTTTGTGTAGTGTGGTGGGTCCCGTCAAGTGTTAGTGTAGTGTGTGGGTCCCCTCAGTGTTAGTGTAGTGTGTGGGTCCCGTCAGTGTTAGTGTAGTGTGTGGGTCCCGTCAGTGTTAGTGTAGTGGGGTGGGTCCCGTCATTGTTAGTGTAGTGTGTGGGTCCCCTCAGTGTTAGTGTAGTGTGTGGGTCCCGTCAGTGTTAGTGTAGTGTGTGAGTCCCGTCAGTGTTAGTGTAGTGTGTGGGTCCCGTCAGTGTTAGTGTAGTGTGTGGGTCCCGTCAGTGTTAGTGTGTGTGTGGGTCCCGTCAGTGTTTAGTGTAGTGTGTGGGTCCCGTCAGTGTTAGCGTAGTGTGTGGGTCCCGTCATTGGTTAGTGTAGGTGTGGGTCCCGTCAGTGTTGTGTAGTGTGTGGGTCCCGTCAGTGTTAGTGTTTGTTTTGTGGGGCCCGTCAGTGTTAGTGTTTAGTGGTTGGTTTTGTACATGTTCCGTCAGTGTTAGTGTAGTGTGTGGGTCCCGTCAGTGTTAGTGTAGTGTGTGGGTCCCGTCAGTGTTAGTGTAGTGTGTGGGTCCCGTCAGTGTTAGTGTAGTGGTTGGTATGTACATGTTCCGTCAGTGTTAGTGTAGTGGTTGGTATGTACATGTTCCGTAGTGTTAGTGTAGTGTGTGGGTCCCTCAGTGTTAGCGTAGTGTGGGGTCCCGCGTGTTAGTGCGTGTGTGGGTCCCGTCAGTGTTAGTGTAGTGTGTGGGTCCCGTCAGTGTTAGCGTAGTGTGTGGGTCCCGTCAGTGTTAGTGCAGTGTGTGGGTCCCGTCAGTGTTAGTGTAGTGTGTGGGTCCCGTCAGTGTTAGCGTAGTGTGTGGGTCCCGTCAGTGTTAGTGCAGTGTGTGGGTCCCGTCAGTGTTAGTGTAGTGGTTAGTATGTACATGTTCCGTCAGTATCAGTGTAGTGGTTGGTGCTGCATATTGCATTAAGTTTTAGTTAACACTCTACTGGTGAACATTACATTTGCGGATGTTTCACACCCTCTGCAACTATAAATAGGTGAGTACATACGTACGTACACACACACACACACACACACACACACACACACACACACACACACACACACACACACACACACACACACACACACACACACACACACACACAAAGTGACTGCCACACTAACACCGTCCTTACTATCTAAACTGATAATAGCCGCTAACTTTGGTTTATGTTCAGTGGTGTGATCTTTCCAAAGGTCTCAGCTCCTTGCACTGTATTAACATGGGAAGCAGAAAAGAACTGTGTAGTGCAACTGGTGACGCGAGCCTGGCTCGCCAACAGTGTTATGTGCTTAGCAAGCATGAGTATTTGATTGTACAAGTTGTACAGTACTACTGGTGAGTCACATTATAAGATAGTACAGGTTGTACAGTACTACTGGTGAGTCACATTATAAGATAGTACAGGTTGTACAGTACTACTGGTGAGTCACATTATAAGATAGTACAGGTTGTACAGTACTACTGGTGAGTCACATTATAAGATAGTACAGGTTGTACAGTACTACTGGTGGGTC